TCTCACACACACACACACACACACACACACACACACACACACACACACACACACACACACACACTACCTTTATCCTGCATGACTTCATTTTTCTCAGAAGGTAATATCCCTTCAAGATGTACTCTTGACCAGCATGTTTATTTTACAGCGAAGTTGAAAGTAAAATTACACCAACACGCACAATCACAACCACATCCACAACCACAAAAATTAACATAATCTTTTCAGAAACATTCATCTTCGGGTGGGTTTAGTTTGACTCTATTGAAGTTCGGTACATGAACACAATGATGTCAGCAAGTCTTTCTAGATCTAGTATTATTTGCTTTATTTTTGTAAATTGTTTTACGGCGCTCGCAACTGCATAAGGTCATATGAGCGCGCGGGACACACCTAATATTAATTTCAGTTTGTAGGAAATTTTGAATTTTGCCTGGGTGGCGGCCGAAGCCTACTCTTATCGATTTTAGACCACCAAGAGATCTTTAACGTGCGCAACTTGCACACGGGTCCTCCGAGATTTTTGGCCCTTGTCCGAGAAGGCAAGGTGTTGATCTTTCCTACCAGAAGATCAGGGGTGTGGCAGAAAGACAGCAGTAAGGAGGAGCCAAGGAGTAGCAGTAGAAAGGCTGCAGAAATAGCCAGGAGCCCAGAGAGGGGGCAAAGGAGGTGAGGGGGTGGGGGCAGAAAGTGGAAGAAATGAAAGCAGACAACCGAACATTGCTAGAGAGCAGGACAGGAAGTGGAAGGAGACAATTTTAGAGAAGAAAATTTTTCGGTCGCTACCCGGATTCGAACCCGGGACCTTTGAATGAGAGGCCAACACCTTAACCTCTAGGCAACGAGAGCCCCCTTTCTAGTATTAAAAAAAAACAAGATTTATACAAATGTAGTTAGGAATAAAAATATAAAAAAGAGAGAACAAGTGGACCTACCAGTAGTATTCTGCAACCATCCAATTCTTCATCCGAAATAAATAAATATGAATCAATTTCAGTGAAGTATACCTTCGTGTGCGGTAACCTAACATACTAGTTTATTTTCGAGCCCAGAAACCAATTCAGGCCCAGACCTGAACTATAACGCAGCCAAAGAGAATGGACACTTTTAAGTTAAGCAGTGGAGAGGGTGGCTCATTGATCACGTCCATTCCGGCATTCTGGTCTATCGACAACGCTTCAATACACGCCTTTTTGGGGTACTTAAAAAAGGGAGCATACCTTTGTTATTCAAACAAATGTTTCAATTTTTTGTTATCTTCAACTTAAAAAAGGTCCTTACTACATGCATACAATAAAACAATGGAATATGCAAGTTCATGTGTCTCATTTATATAATAAAGTTATGCTTCAAAATGGGCCGCAACATTGCCTTTAGTCTGCTGCTGACTAGACATTATGATGTGCCCTCTACTCCTTAGGCTAAGAAATTAGAGCCAAACCAGTCTTTTTAATGCACTTCCCTCATTTTCCTCCGGACTCACCTGGCCGTCAGCTCCTTCATCTAACTCATCTCTAGACGACTGGGACCGGAGACCCAGAAAACTCCCTGTGGAAAAGAAATTTGACCAACGAGCTGAACCACAGACAGTAGATTACTTTCCTCACAAACACACACGCTGCACAGAGGACCCTCGCTAAAACGTGCGTAAATAATACACCTGGCATTTGACAAAATGGATGACGCTTTTGTTGAATAGATCTAATGCACCTTTCAACACTATAAGGTTTTCTAAGACGCGGTACCTCAGAATTTAACGTTCATCTTCGACAGGACCGGGCCAAATCGATGGAGGACTTAAATAACCCCTCAAAACAGTCAAAGTTCAAGAACGCCCTGTTCAGGATTCGAACCAGAGTCACCCGCTCCCTATATCCAACATGGTAGCAACTGAGCTAACGGAACACTCTAAACAGATGACATCTAGGCTGTAATACAGCTATTAATTTGGTTGGAGGCGGAAGGGGGGGGGGGGTATTTTTTGTTTTGTTGCCGTTTTTTTGGAAGGGGGGGGGGTTGTTTTAATACCGGCATTTTAAAAAGAGAGCATACTTATTTTATATAATTAGTTCTTGATTTAACAGTCTCACGTCGTGGTGTTTACAATAATTTCTGCACTGTGATGTTATGCACTTTGTTCTGCGCACACTGTAGCCTACTACACGATTCCTACACCACACAGGGCCTGGATAGTAAATGCTGACAGGCACCATTCGTTAACACGATTGATCAGTTAGCAAGAACACCACCTCATGCCATTAGCACGTTTTAACGAGGGTCAATGGGTACTGTATTCCATAGACACACAGTAGCCAATAGCCAATGACTATTCCCAAGTAGCTCGTAGATATTCAAGCAGTAACATACTGATGTAATGCAGTCTCGTTATAATACAACATAATCTGCTTAAAATCCTTGTTCAGTTATTACATAAGCAGTTATGGCGATAAGTGGGCTGAGGAATTTTAGTTACGGAACACACACATACACACACAGAGAC